CAACATCTGTAGTACTTTGCTTTCATTGAATCCTGGAATTGCTCAACAACAATATCCGTGAAGAGACAAACAGAGTGTTAAAAGTTTTTGGCTTAGGGCACAGGTTGACACCCGGTCTCTCATCTGTCTCCAGTGCTTTGCAGGCTTTCTGATTCCAATTGGAAGTTGGATAACTTTAAACTTCTTAAACATTGGTTGCCAAAAGCTGATGCTTATGAACTCTCTTTAAGCCACAACCCAAAGCACAATCATTTACTTCATTGCATTCTGTTTGGCCTTTTAGGTAAGGCTTATTGCTAATTGGTTTCAGGGAGACATGCTCAACTTCAAATTGGCTATTGGTGATGGACATTGACTGATGTCACCTGCCACTATCTCCTAACTGGTTCTTTTAAGTTGTCAGTTATCCATGGGGCTGTCCTCCTCATTAATTTTTGTTGTTGTCACTTTATAATATTTTATGTAGTGATTGGAACCAAGCAGATCTTGTTGACTATGAGACCCTTGATTGGGGTTTTTAACCTGGGCCAATCGGGAAGCCCTGGCTGATCAACATAAATGGGAATTTAGAGTCTCTTGAGTTCAGGGGGCTGACTCTGAGCTGGCTGGCCACAACCAATGAACTGTACAAGTAAATAAAGGATGATTTGGTGATGGGATACCAGCTTCTGTGCAGATTTTTCAGTGGTAATGGGGGGGAACAGTACATGCCTGAAGAAATTCACTCATACCAATTATTTTGGAGTTGGTGTAAGCATTTCTGGCATCGTGCCTTTATTTGGGAAGTTTGACTCATTCGATCCTGCTGTCGAAGACTGGGCCCAGGGTGTGGCAAGAATGTGATTTTTATTTCCCGGGCAAATGACATTGGGCCAGGTGAAAAGCAATGAGTAATCCTTCTGACTGCTTGCAGACCAGCAGCATCATTTTCAATTATAACGGGCTTAATTTTCCCAGAGGCAGTAGACACTAAAACCGTCCAAGAGTTGACAGAATATTACGACCCCAAACCTCCTGTAATTCTGAGATGCTATTGGTTTTATTCGGTTGTTAGAGAACCGGAGGAATCTGTATCGGGATTTTTGACAAGGGTAAGACAACTGGCAGAGACATGTGATTTTGGGTTAACCCTGAATGAGATGCTGAGACACCATTTGGTATGTGGGATTAATGATGTAATCATGCAGAAGCACCAACTAGCTGAAGCCCATCTGGACTTCAAACTGGCACTACAACTGGCTTTGTCATTAGAAAGTGGAGCATGGGAGCTACAGGGCACCCCAATGGCAGTGGACACCCTCACCTACCCGACTGAGCTTGGGGAATACCACTTGAGTGTAGGCAACTACAGAGCTTCACACAGGGCACAGCCTGAGCAGAGGGACCCTAGGTCAGCCACAGCAGAACCCCACTACAAAGCCAAGCCTCGGCCAAGTGCCTGAAGAGTTCTTAAGGATCTGGCTGGCAAACCATTGTAGTTGCTGCTGGTATATGGACTCATGACAGCAGAGGGGTCCTACAAGGCCTGACTTGAGTAAGAAAACTCAGGCCAATATCCAGGAAAGTACACACCCTGGAATAGTCCATTTTAGTTTTAAACTTCCTGGACAACCTTCTGATCACCACTTATAATATCCCACTGTGGACACATTAAAGATCCTGTCCTAGCAAAACTAAAACATCTGGTGGTAATGGGGGAAACAGAAGGGCCATTGCAACCAGGACTGAAACTTTTCTCGACCCAGTGAAACCAGATCTCCATAGAGGATGGCATATTACAATGGGGAGCAAGAGTGGTTGTTTGCGTAAAGGTTGCCACCATATATTGGCTGAAATCCACCAGGGTCATCCAGAGGTTTCCAAGATAAAGATGCTAGCAAGAAGGATGTCTGATGGCCACGGTTGGGTAGCAACAGAGCTGTGTTGGTGGGCCAGTGCCCAGAGTGCCAAAAAGGACAAAAATTGCCACCAGCAACACCCCCACATTCTTGGGAATGGCCGGGTAAATGCTGGACTCAGTTACGTGTTGACGCTGCCGGTCCTTCCTTGGGCTCAATGTTCCTGGTCATTGTGGATGCCCATTCAAGGTGGTTGGACGTGCATAAAGTTCATTCAGCAAACTCAGGGATGAGAAGCTGCAAGCATCATTCGCAATACACGGACTCCTAGAAGTATTAGTCACAGACAATGGGATTTTATTTACGAGCAGGTAAAGTTGAATGGCATTCAGCACATAAGGGGACAGCTCTGTACCATCCATCATTCAATGGTCTAACAGAAAGAACGGTTCAAACATTGAAAGCAAGCTTACAGAAGCAGCCTACAGCGTAAACTGATACCAAACTGTCCTGGTTCCTGTTCAGTTATAGGACCACCCCTCATGCAACAACAGGGATAGCTCCAGCAGAGTTGCTAATGGGGAGAAGACTCCAGGTTAAACCTGATATTCCTAGACCTGGGGGGGGGAGGGTGAAACGGCAGCAGGAATGCAACTGCTAGCCACATGCCTCCTCTAAGTGAGAGAAACAATTTAATTCAGGGAACAAAGTTTGGTGCTGGAACCGTGGAAATGGCCCTGTATGGGTACGAGGTGAGCTTGACGTGAGTTCAGGTGCCATGACTTACGAAGGTCAGAGAGGTGCAGTAGTTCTGAACAAACGTGGATCACCTGAAAGCTGTTACCTTGCAAACAGAGCACAAGCAAAACATACCTGGACCCACAGAACAGCCAGAAGGCCTGTCAGAAACTGTCCCCTCCGTCTAATATCGAGGAAATCTCAGAGTCTGAGATGGATGCAGCCTCGATACCATTACCACCAGAAGAAGAGGAGGACACTCTCCAGAGAAGCTCTGGATGCAAGAGACGGGCTACAGTCCGGTACACACCACCCATGTCAGAGTCCGAGTTGGAGGAACCAGACCCAGGGCGAAAACATCGTAGGAAAAGCTACAAGGGAAAGCCCAGGCATACATTCCTAAACTTAGGGAGGGGGGAAGCGATGTCATGATCGGAACCAGGTGGATCTCGTTAACAGTGAGGTCCTTGATCAGGGTTGTTAATATGGGCCAATCAGAAAGTTCTAGCTGACCAAAATAAACAGGGGGTTCAGAACCTCCTGAGTTCAGGGGCCTGATACTGAGCTGGCTGGCCACTGCCAGTGTACTATACATAAGCAAATAAAGGGTGACTTGGTGACGGGATACTGGCCTCTCTGCCGTTATTTTACTAAGAGGATAGTTTGACACTTCTTTAAACCTCTCTGGTAAAGAGAAAAATGAGGCATTTACAGTCATGACCCAAAGATCAATATCCATGAGCACAAGTCTCAAGCCTCGCTTAATTTAGCAAAGTTTCCACTAAACCAGACACTTATTTATTACTGGCCCTTTGCTTTTTCCTCACAGTTGATTTTTTTTTCTAATTGGTTTTGCTTTTGCTGTATTTGAATGTTTGAAGACAGTTCATGTAACCCTTTATACTTCAGACGCCATAGGTTTATGAAAAGGCTGTTTATGACTTCAAAGCAATTTGAAATAACTAATACAGAAAATACTAATCTCAGCAAATTGTTGTACAGGGTATAATCCTTAAAGTCTAAAGGTCTATACAGTTCCAAGCTTAAAAATATTGTTACAAATTTAAAGCTAATAAAATGGTTATATTTATTTAAACAAATTAAAAAACACCACTACAGGGGCACACCTGTTGGTATGATTTCTTGATTCAGGCCAATGAGCCCGGAGTATGCTACTACTGTCGTCTTCACCCTTGACAGTCTGGACATTAGCTACAGAAAAGCAAGACAGAGGCCCCTCAACCTTAGAGCTGTAAATCTTCACTCTGTCCTCAATCCTGTGCATTTCTTTGTCAAATGAAACTAAGCAGTCACAACCCTAACCCTATTGCAAGATCTGCATGGCTATACTTAAGCAGAGTAATATGATGGTAGAATAGAATGTACTTAGATTTACTTTTGATATTATCAAACAATCCATGCAATGTTAGTTTCCCTCCTAATCCTACAAAGCAAAAATAAATATTTTTTTAAAAATAGGTTGTTAAGAAAAATGTAGCATTAAAAAATGCCAATCTTTAAGAGATTACACAAGCACCAGAGTGTGTGCATGTGGGAGCACGCCCACAAGAGCGAAAACTAGGGCACCTGAGAAAGCAAGAGCAGGAATGCACCCACATAAATCAAGAATGGGAGCATACCTGAGCAATGCAGAGTTAACTCTTCTCTTTGCCTATTCATTTAAGAAACAGTTTGAAGGAGACAGACATGCAGCTGTTCACACTCTGTCTGGGGTGCACTGCTACTGTCATTCTCTCAGCTACGCTCTCACTCTTGCTCTCTGCCATATGCTCCCACTCTTGCTCTCTGGTTGTCAGCAATAAATCTGGGATCATCATAAACTAGAATACTTTACCCCACATTTTCTTTCTTGCTAGATCATTTTACTAGTATAATTTTCATTTCTCAGACATTGACGTTAATGGAATTTTTGGACATTGCTTGAACGTAAACATTTATAAATCACTCCAGCATCTGAATTTTGCATGGTGGCCAGGAGTGATTAATCTCAGTTGATACAACATTGTCATTGTTAATCAGTTGCACAGCTCAGATTCAAACTACTCATAGTGCTGGAGATGCTTCACGGAGATTACTAAGAAGCCTGCATTTATGTCTCGCATAGTACCCTTTTCTTTGCTTCGGTTTCAAACTGAAAAAGCTGTTATTGTCATATCCTTAGTCCTCCTAAAATCATTACGAATGACACCCAAATAATCATGTTCCATATAATTCCATATCAATGCTTGTGTGTTCTCTGAACTCATTGCTGCAAAGCAGAAAAAATGTGCAATATCCTAGCATAAACTTTGAACTAAGGCTAGAATTTTGATTCTTGTATCATTGTTTGTATAATTGCTCTAATTATGAAATGTTGAAATTTGTGTTGTTCCACTCTACCCTTTTCTCACATATTATGGGCAGTTGAGACACCTCGGGAATGATGAAGTGCATATTGTCTGGTCAGAGCATACAAGAGACTACAGAAGAGGAATTATTCCTACTGAGTTTGGTGATGTCCTGATTGTTATTTATCCAATGAAAAATTATATGTTCAGTATCCACATAATGAAAAAGCCAGAGGTAAGGTAATCCTACAGTGTGTTGAATTATTAAACTTCATTAGAATACCAAAATATTTTGCACATGATTTTAGTAAAGTTATGTTTGCAAAACTGCAATGCACGTTATTTATTTGCAGCAACAACACAAAAGCAAAAACAAACACAAAGTTGCTGGAAAAGCTCAGCAGGTCTGGCAGCATCTGTGAAGGAAAAAACAGTTAACGTTTCAGGTCCGGTGACTGAGTTCTGAGGAAGGGTCACCGGAACCGAAAAATTAACTCTCTTTTTTCACTTCACAGATGCTGCCAGACCCGCTGAGCTTTTCCAGCAACTTTGTTTTTGTTCTTGATTTACAGCATCCGCAGTTCTTTTGGTTTTTAACACAAAAGCAAAATCCAGATATGCTAGAAATCAAAATAGACAGTACTGGAAGTACTCACTAAGTCAGGCAATATTTGTGGATAAAAACAGGGTTAACATTTCAGATCAATGACCCTTCATTAGTTCTAAGAAAAATATAAGTAAAGGTAATAAAATGGAAATGGGCAGGGAGGATGTGGAAGAACCAAAAAGGGAAGTCTGTGAAGGAATGTTATGATTAAGTGACAAAAGATTTCATGGTACACAGCCAAAGGGAATGGTAATAATACAGTAAAGAAACAAAAATGTGTCTTGATTAAGTGTGAATAGCTGAATAGTAGCTGTCAAAGTGCCCAATGAAGGACTAAGAAAGGATTTTAAAAAGTAAGGAATTTAAAATAAAATGTTTGCAGTGATTATGATCTTTAAATTGTTGAACTTGCTGTTAAGTCTAGAAAGTTGTAGAATGTTCAAAGGTGAACGACTGTTTTTAAAGCTTTTCGTGAGCTTCATTGGAAAACTGTAGCAAGCCATGGATACAGAGGTGAGAATGGGAACAAGATGAGGAATTGAAATGACAAGCAACACGAATTTCATGCTTAGGCTTGCGGATTGAGTGGAGGTGTTCTACAAAGTGGTCACACTGTCTGTTTGACCTCCACACTGTAGAAGAGACCACGTTGTAAACAGGATATAGAACTAAGTTGAAAGAATTACAAGTAAATCACTGTTTCACTTAGAAGAAATGTTTGGAATGTTAAGAAATGAAAAAGGATGCAGTAGAAGAGTAGATGTTGTTTCTTCTGCACTTCCACATAAACGTGCTGTAGGAAAGGGAGTAGGTGTGGTGATATTAGTTTGTTAGTTAGATTGTTAAGATACAGAAGAAAGGGCATTGTAAAATTAAGTACTTAGAGCACTTATAGAGATGGCTGGGACACTGAGGTAATAGGTAGAAGGCAGATTTAGGTTTATTTACAGAATGTAGCATTACTTTATTATAAAAAAAAGGATGAGCATCTGGCTTGATACTTCACCATCTGACTTGTGATCCATTTAACCTAGCAGCAAAGGTTGGTTCTCTAATGGTCAAGTTTGGCAACTAAGTTCTCTTTTCAGGCACGAGATTCTATTTTGATTTACACTTGTAAAGAATGGCTGAAACTATTGTCAGAATATGATTTTCCACATATGCTTTTTGAGTTCAGATTTTCTGACCAATGGAAAAATAAGATTCTTGGAAAAAGGATAAAGGAGCAGAATTAGGCCATTCAGCACATTGAGTCTGCTCCACACTCTATCGTGGCTGGTATATTTCTCAACCCATTCTCCTGCCTTCTCTTAACCCTTGATCTCATTATCAATCAAGCACCTAACTATTTCTGTCTTAAATACACTCAATGTCTTGGCCTCCATGGTTCTCCGTGGCAATGAGTTCCACAAATTAACCACACTGTGGCCGAAGAAATTCCTCCCCATCTCAGTTCTAAAGGGTTGACCCATCACTCTGAGGCTGTGCGCTCGGGTCCTAGTCTCTCCTACTAGTGGAAACATCTTCTCTGCTTCCACTCTATCCAGGCCTGTCAGAATTTTCAATGAGATCGCCCCTCATTCTTCTAAACTCCATTGAGTATAAACCCAGAGTCCTCAACTGGTCCTCATTTGACATGCTATTCATCCCATGATCATTCTTGTAAACCACTGGATCTCCTCCAAGGCCAACACATTTTTACTTAGATGCAAGGCCGAAAACCGCTCACAATATTCCAAATGCAGTCTGACCAGAGCCTTATACAGCCTCAGCAGTACATCCCTGCACATATATTCTAGCCCTCTTGAAATGAATGACTATATTACATTTGCCTTCTGAACTGCAAACTAACTTGCATGTTAAGCTTAAGAGAATCCTGATCTAGGACTCCTGAGTCCCTTTGCACTTCAGATTTTAAAAGCCTTTCCATTTAAAAAAATAGTCTCCACCAGTATTCCCCCCATCAAAGTGCATAACCTTGCACTTTCCCACATAGTCCATCTGCCACTTCTTTGGCCATTCTCTTAGCCTGTGTAAGTCCTTCCCCAGCCTCCCCACCTCCTCACTATGACTTGTCCCTCCATCTATATTTGTGTCATCTGTAAATTTAACAACAATGCCCTCAGTTCCTTCGTTCAGACTGTTAATGTATGACATGAATAGTTGTGATCCCAACATGGACCCCTACAGAACTCCACTAGTCACTGGCTGCCATCCTGAAAATGCCTCTTTATCTCTACTCTCTGCCTCTGCCAGTCAGCCAATCATCTATGCATGCCAGTACCTTGCCCATAACACCATGGCCTCTGATCTAATTTAGCAGTCTCCTGTGTGACACCTTGTCAAAGGCCTTTTGGTCATCCACATCTACTGGCTCTCTTTTGTCCAACTTGCTCATTACCTCCTCAAAGAATGCTAATAGATTTGTCAAGCATGACCTCCCCTTGATGAAGCCATCTGACTCAGCTGTATTTTATCATGTACTTCCAAGTATTGTGCAGTCTCATCCCTAATGATGGGCTCTAAAATCTTACCAATGAATGAGGTTAGGCTTACTGGCTTATAGTTTCTTCCCTCTGCCCCCTTCCCTTCTTAAACAGGGATATTACATTTGCCATTTTCCAGTTCTCTGGTATGCCCCCTGATTCCAGTGATTCATGAAAGATCATCACCAATACCTCCACAATTTCCTGCTCTATCTCCGTCAGAACTCTGGGGTTTTGTCCCTCTGGTCCAGGTTATTTAGCCATCTTTTAGACCTTCAGCTTCCCCATCACCTCCTTAGTGATGGCCACTATGCTCACCTCTGCCCCTGACTGTCTTGAAGTTTTGGAATGTTGCTGGTGTCTTCCACTGTGAAAACAGATGCAAGGTACCTATTTAAGTTTCTCTGGCATTTCTTTGTTCCTCAGCCTCATTTACCAGTGGTCCAACATCCATTCATGTCTCTCTTAACTTTTGGATACCAAAAAAAAACTCTTGCAAACTACTTTTATATTGCTAGCTAACCTACTCTCGTATTTCATCTACTCCCTCCTTATTTTTTTAATTAAGTTAATCTTTGTTGATTTTTAATGGCTTCCCACTAATCTTCACCACTTTATTTGATTTTTTTCTTTTACTTCTATGCTGTCCCTGACTTCCTTTGTCAGCGATAGTTTCCTCATCCTTCCCATAATATGTTTCTTTTTCCTTGGGATGAATTTCTGCTGTGCCTCCCAAACTACCCCCAGAAACTCCAACGCAGCTCCACCATCTTCCATGCTTTCGCCAGCTCCTCCCTCATGTCTTTGTAGTTACCTTTACTCAATTGTGATACCATTACTTCTGATTTCAGCTTCTCCCTCAAACCCCAGGGTGAATTCTATCGTAATTTGGTCACTGCCCCCTAAAGGTTTCTTCATCTTAAGCTCCTTAATCAAGTCTGCCTCATGAGGAAGAGTCACCAGACCCGAACCGTTAACTCTGTTTTCTCCTTCACAGATGCTGCCAGACCTGCTGAGCTTTTCCAGCAACTTTGTTTTTGTTCCTGCCTCATTACACATCATCAAGTCCAGAATTGTTAGTTCCCACATGGGCTCTACCACAAGCTGCTTCAAAAAAGAACATCTTGCACACATTCCACAATCAGCTACCAACCTGATTTTGAGTCCACCTGCATATTAATCTCCACTATGATTATTGTAATAGTGCCTTTACATGCCTTTTCTTCCCCACATCCTGACTACTGCTAAAAGGCTTGGATACAACTCCCTGATGTCTTTTTCCCTTTGCTGTTCATTAACTCTACCCACACAAATTCTACACCGTCTGACTATATATCATTTCTTGGTATCAATTTAATTTCATTTCTTATAAACAAAGCCACCCGATCCCATCTGCCCATCTGCTTGTCCTCTCAACAGAATGTGAAACCTTGGATATTTAGTTCCCAGCCCTGATCCCCTTGCAGTCCCATCTCTGTGATAGCCACAACATTGTACCTGCCGGTTTCAATGTGCGCAGCAAGCTCATTTACCTTATTTTGTATACTGTGTGAATTTATGTACAACACTCTCAGTCCTGCATTGATTGTCTCCCTTCTCATAGTTGGCCCCTTAACTGTTGTGTCTGAAGTTAGTTCCCTGACCTTTCCATACCCTGTCCTATTACTTGTTCTGGAAACTTTAATAAGCTCTTCTGAACCCTACCCCCCTGCCCTTTAATTTTTCCATAATTTTCCTTGCAATCAAAACCCTACCTCCCCACACCCCACTAGTAGACCTGGGTGTTAAATTCCTGCCGAAGAGGAAACAAGGCAAAGCTGCAGCTTATGTGAAGCTGTATAGATAAAATTTCCAAAAAGTGACCAAATATGAGCCATGATTAGATTAGGCTTTGGTAGATTTCAAAAGATCACTTACTAGTCATTCTATAAAGGAATATATCATGGACATTAATAGGCTTTTATATGAGATTGCATAAATTAAATTTTGGAATTCTTTTTTCTGTCAAATGTTTGGATTAAACTACTATGTCATATATAGGCAAGCTCCTGCTCTTAACTGGAGTTGGAATATCAAATTGAAACACTGTTGCTTTGTAAACTAGTATAGCAGTGATCTTCTAGCAGAACAAAGAGAAACTCTTGGGCATCTTTATGATGTATATTGATATTTTGTGGGGACAAAACAACTTGAACAATTTATAACAGCCAAAATCAAAGGGCAGTTTAAGATTAGAAGTCAGTCTTCAGGTACTTTTAAATATATAGGCTTAGACATGAATCAAAACAGGCTGACAGTAACCTTGAATGAACAGTTATATGCAGAAATAAATAAGTTAAGTAAGATCATTGCAGAAAGATGATCTTTGAACTGAAGAAGAAACGAGGTAGTTAATACGTATGGTTAGATAGTTAAACTGACTGTTTACTCAAACAAGATTTGATGCTAATTATGACATATTGGAACTTAGTATTACGATGAACCATGCTACAATTGAAGTTCTGAGGGCAGATAGCATATTAAAGAAGTTAAATTTGCAGAATTGTGCACTCAAGTTTCAAACCTTGGCTGACCCAAAAGGCATGAAATCAGTCTTTTTATAAAACAAAGAACTGTGGGTGCTGAAGATCTGAAACAAAACCAGAAATTTGGAAGAACTCACCAAGTCTGGAAACATCTGTGTAGAGAAAACCAAGTTAATATTTCAAGTCTAGTTACCTTTCTTATGAACCAGAGAGAGAAAATGGAATGTATTGCCCTTTGGCCTGATAAGCGAAGAAAATGGAAATATTTGAAAGTATCCTAGTTTCAGAGCACTGGCCCTGGTAGGTGTATTAGATTAAACGTTTTGAATGAAATCACATACATGGGATTCTCAGAAGAGTTTGTAGTAGTTCGCTATAGGATAGTATATATTCTACAAAGACTTTGATTGAGAAAGGATTAAGGATTGACCTTGTGTCCATAAAATGAATATTAAGAGGAAAAGGGATCTCCAAGATAAAATAAATTGACGCCAACCACTAAATTGGCAGACCTTATTACAAAAAGGAAGGCTGGCTTGAATAAATTATTGAAGGTACGGGAAGAGGGACATTTTGAATTGTTACAGAGATAGTAGGAACTGCCGATGCTGGAGAATCTAAGATAACAAAGTGTAGAGCTGGAATGACACAGCAGGCCAAGCAGCATCAGAGAAGCAGGAAAGCTGACGTTTCAGGTCTAAACCCGTCTTCAGAAAGTTCACATTTTGAATTGTGATGCGTTATATGTAATACGTTCTCTTTGATTAGTTTTGTAATTGTTTGAGTATCTTATAAGGCTTTTTGAAAGCGACAAGGGGAATTTGTGATGGCATGTTCAATATATTATTAGATATATAAGTGAAGAATTTTGCTTAATTAAGCACCTAGAGCATTTATAAAGAGAGATAGCTGGGATAATGGGGTGATAGACAGAAGGCTAACATACATAATGCTGCGTTTTATAAATAAACCCATTTCAAGAAATTAGCACCTAGTCTTGTACTTTGCCATCAGGCTTAATAATTGGAGGTTGACTGAGAGTGGATCAGTGAATTGCAGAAGGAATAGTCCCTTTGGAATGCTGAAAGAATTGTTTGCTGACATCCCGGTGGAGGTGGCAGAAATTACAAAGGGTGATCCGTTGAATATGAAGGCAGCTGAGGTGAAAGGTGATAACAAGGAGAATCATAGTGAGGAGGGAGGGAAAGGAATAGAGCAGTTGTCCTTGAACAAGATCAGACGCAGAAAGCCCTACCTGCACACTGGGAAGGAATCCCATTAAAGGCAGCCATTGTAAAAACTGTACTTCTGTACTGGTGTACATGTAATAATGAAGGATATTCTAGTATTCTAATTCTAATCCATAGGCTTTTGTTCTTTCATGGAATGTGAACATCCCTGGCTGGGCCAGAATTTGTTGCCATTGAAAAGATGGTTGTTGGCCGTCTTGAAGCACTGCTTTTGATGTAGGTAAACCTACAGTGCCGTTAGGGAGGGAATTCCAGTATTTGACCAAGCAACATTGAAGGAACATGATATCTTTCCAAGTCAGGATGGTGACTTGGAGGGGAACTTGCAAGTGGTAGTGGTAGTGTTCCCATGTATCTGGAGCTCTTGTCCTTACCAACGCTGTCGGTAATGGGCCTGGAAGGTGGTGTCTAAGGAACCTTGGGAAATTTCTGTTGAAGTTGAAGAGAATGGAAGACACCTTGGAATCAAGGAAGTCTAGTCAAGGTAACTACAGGAGCCCATGGACTTGTAGTGAATATCAATTGTAAGCCAGAAATGAAGACTGGGAAGTCAAGGGATGGAAGAGTCTGAGATACATCAAGGTCTAAGGGAAGAAGGATGGAAATTACAAAGAAAGTCAGTGAAGTTCTAAAATTCTTTCATGGTTTGTGAGCATGGTGGCAAGACCACCATTTTTTGCTTTTCCCTGTATATACTTGAGAAGGTGGTGGTGAGCTGCCCTCTGAACTGCTGAGGTCTCTGGTGTAGGTATATCTCTACAGTTCTACTAGTAGGGAGTTTGAGGATTTTGACCCAGTGGACAGTGAAGGAACAGTGATAAAGCTCCAAGCAGGATGGTGTGTGACTTGGAGTGGAACTTGTAGGTGGTGGTGATCTTATGCTTCTGCTTCTCTTGGTCTTCTAGGTGGTACATGATGTGTGTTTGGAAAACATTGTCAAAGTAGCTTTTCTTGAGTTGCTGCAATGCATTTTGTGTACAGTACATACAGCTGAATTGTGGATTAGTGGTACATGGGTTCCCACTCAAGCTGTTCTGTCCGAAAGGGTGCAAACTTCTTGAATGTTGTTGGAGCTGCCCTCTTCCAGGCAAGTGGACAGTATCCCATCACATTTCTCACTTGTACCTTGTAGGTGATGGATAGGCTTTGAAGAGTCAGAAGCTATGTTGCTTACTGCAGATTTCCCAGCTTCCTGATCTAGGTTAGGCAGGATTGTTTTCTCATCCAGGATAAGAGTAGGAAGCAGCAGCAATATAGTCATCGATGTACTAGAAAGAGAGATGAGGGAGGTGTACTGATTAAGAATGCTACAAGCAAGTTCCACATATCCTATGAAAGGCAGCCATACTAGGACCCACGAAGATACTCATGGCAAGTTTTCTTTTGGAGGAAATTAATTGAGTTGAAAGACAAATTGTTCTATGTGAAAACAGTAGGGAGGCAGTGGTAATGCCACTGGGCCAGAAATCCAGGGGACCAGGCCAATGTTCTAGGCACATTATAAGAAAACAGATGTTGAAATGGTAACTAAAAGCTAACCTAATGGTGAGAAAAGAACTCTTGTTGATCTATCATAAAACTCCATCAGGTTCAATAACACACATCACAGAAGAAAATCTGCCACCCACACTTGGTCTGACCTCCCACAGTGCCCGCTAAGGTAGCCCAGCAAACCTCTCAGCTATGTCTAATTGCTACAAAATCTAAGGAAAAGAATGAAACTAGACAGATAACTTAGCACTGACCCAGGCACTCAGTTGTTTACCCTGTAAAGTCCTCAATATTATCATTTGTCAGTTTCTGCCAAAGCTGGGAGTTTCACAGATTTTTCTCCCAGGTGCCAACAATTTTCTATATCCTAATGATATTACATCATTACCTATTGTTGCCTTACATTGATACTCTGGTATACATTATCTTTTGAAAATGACTTGTGAATTATTGCTCTAAGCTGTCTCAGTTGCTGTTTCTGGCAGTATTGTTGGGAAGGTTTTAAGGAGCATATTAAAACCAGTGGGTGAGGTTTAGGGAAGGACTTCAAGCTTGGAGCCAAGGTAGCTGAAAGCACTGCCAATGATGGTGGACCAAGTAATGTTGGGAATGCTCAAACAGGAAGAGTTGGATGAGTGCAGAAATTCCAAAGAACCGGTAGAGTATAGCAAAGGAGAGGAGTGAACTACATTCCACTCAAATAGCCAACAGAAACAATTGACTTAAATTAGATTCTATTATTATTTGTCAATCAATTTTTTAACATTCGTTTCTACTGAAGTGAAATAAATTTTTTTTTAAAACTGGATGCAGCTATCAGAAATCTTGTATAACTTAATTGCAGTGATATGAGATAAATCATTTGGTAAAACTGAACCAAGTAATCTTCTTTTGAACAGGTACCATTTTTTGGCCCACTCTTTGATGGTGCTATTGTGGATGGGAAAGTTCTACCAAATCTAGTCCGAGCTACAGCAATCAATGCAAGTCGAGCTCTAAAATCATTAATTCCACTGTATCAAAATTTGTATCCTTTTAAAACAAAAGCTGCCTTTTCCTTTTGTTAAAATGTCATTTGAAGTATCAGAAGACCTCGTAAGTAAGATGGAATTACACTTGCAATATGTTTTTTTTTGCTTTTTTTAATGCCTTTGCTAGTGTTTGGGAGAAGAATCCACGCATTCAGTTCGTTATTTTTATGGGGGAATGAAGTCAAAATGAAAATTTCCTCCAATGTATTGCAAAGCAAGCTGTGCAAATACATTGGCAAGATGTCTTTAAAAAAAAGAAAGGTAATTATTTATCTTTTATTACAAACATAAAGGAGCCTTCTGAACATATAACAGTTGAAAAGACATGGAATAAACTAACTTAGTCCATGATGTAATCTGATAAGGTTGAAAATTTACAAATGTCTTAGAGGAGCTGAGATGCAGAAATGTTACACAGTTATATCAGGATGTCAAGTCTTTATGAATCTACATTTATTATTCATTTTACTGCATCTTTTTAAAACCTGTTATGTAAGTGTAATGAATAGAAAATCTGCTTTGCTTCATGACAGAAAAGACTATATATGTTGGTATTTTGTTATGTGCACAAATAATACAGAAAATGAACCAGATCTGCATGATAAGTAGTTCAGACCTTTAAATAACAGGTCTTAGCAAGGCTCCCATTTAACAGTTTTTTGGTTCAGTAGTTAACCAGCTGGGAGCATGATTATCTCAATTCTTATCTAAGCTCCACGTTATAGACATTGTATGAATTCAATGTAACATCAGGAATCAGAGTTTTTATTTGAAATCGGATTTTGTTTTGAAACAGATTTTATAGATGAATTAAATCATTACTGTTTTTTTCTTTGTTTAAGTTTAATTTCTACCACTTCAATTTCTTATAAAACTCAATTTGTTCGTGGCTTGAGCTACAGAATCTGTTTGTCAGAGAACAGGAGGATGCAAGTCGTTTTTAACTATTTCCAGCAACTTATCAACAGTCTGACTGTTTATTCACTCGGAATTCAATTACTGGTCAAAATTTCAGTTTTTGTCAGAACTGGAAAAAGATTAGAATGAGTGAACACTCGAGTAACATGAGGAGAAAGGGGCACAGAACAAAAGCAAATGTCTTGATGGGGTAGAAGGCAGGGAAGGTTAAATGATTAAAAGGCTAATATGTCAAGGCAAAAGTAGTTGTTTTAATGGGTCAAGTAATGAAATGAGATAAGTCTAGAGGGATTGTAAATGGCAATCTCAAAATCACCACCATCAGTTGCTGTCACAAAAAAGTCACAGAGATTACAATCTGAAATTGTTGAACTCAGTCCAGAAGACTGTAAAGTACCAAAGAAAAGTGGGTTACGGTTGCTCAAACTTCACAAGTGTTGTTGGATGTAAGAGGCCTAGATTAGAGTGGGAGTGGAAGAGAAAATTATAGTAAGGATCAGCCAAAGCTTAGAGTCTTGTTGGGTGATCGAATCTGTAACACAAAGTGCTCACCTGATCTTATGTTTGGTTTCCACAATTTAGAGCAGACTGAGTCATGAGCAGTGTAACATTGTAGCGTACATTTAAAGTTCAAAAAATAGTTATTATAACTGAAGACGTTTTAAGGTTATGAGTGGTGGGGAGGGAGAACGTAAGATGACAGGTGTTGTATCTCTTACACTTGCATAGGAGGGTGCCTTGGAAAGAACAACAAATGTTACTCATAAGTGCAGAGTGGAGCAAATTGTCGCAGAAGTAACAGTCAAAGTGCTAATAGACAAGGCAAAAATTGTGTTTGACGATAGCAGAAGCTGAGCTGTTGAATGTATGGACTGGTGGATTGAAGGTGAGGATAAGCAGAACCCTGTCATGGCTCTAAGAGATGGTGGGGGTTAAAGGATCAGAGTGAAAATGGAAGAAATATAATGGGCAGCCCTTACAATATGGTGGAGGGTCATCTCCAGTTAAAGAAAAAGACAGACATCAAAATCATTTAAGGTTGGCGGTATTGTCAAAACAGATGTGACGGAAAATGTGTTAGAATCTTTAAAGAAAGCGGGATATGGGGGAAGCTGTCTTATTCAAGATAGTGATCAATAGCCTATCCCCAGCAATGGATGCATAAGAGTTGAGAAGGGGAAGAGTCTAAAATGACCAATGAGAATTGGGATCAGAGATAAGAACATAAGAACTAGGAGCAGGAGTAGGCCATCCGGCCCCTCGAGCCTGCCCCGCCATTCAATAAGATCATGGCTGATCTTTTTGAGACTCAGCTCCACTTACCCGCCCGCTCACCATAACCCTTAATTCCTTTACTGTTCAAAAATTTATCTAGCCTTGCTTTAAAAACATTCAACGAGGTAGCTTCAACCGCTTCACTGGGCAGGGAATTCCACAGATTCACAACCCTTTGGGTGAAGAAGTTCCTCCTGACCTCAATCCTACATCTGCTTCCCTTTATTTTGAGACGATGCCCTCTAGTCCTAGTTTCACCTGCTAGCGGAAATAACCTTCCTGCCTCCACCTTATCTATTCCCTTCATAATCTTATATGTTTCTATAAGATCTCCCCTCATTCTTCTGAATTCTAATGAGTATAATCCCAGTCTACTCAGTCTCTCCTCATAATCCAACCCTCTCAACTCTGGAATCAACGGAGTGAATCTCCTCTGCACCCCCTCCAGTGCTAGTATATCTCTTCTCAAGTAAGGAGACCAAAACTGTACACAGTACTCCATACAGCTGCAGCATAGCCTCCCTGTTTTTAAACTCCATCCCTCTAGCAATGGCAGACAAAATTACATTTGCCTTTTTAATTACCTGCTGCACCTGCAATCCTACTTTTAGCGATTCATGCACAAGGACATCCAAGTCCCTCTGCACAGCAGCGTGCTGCAATTTTTTACCATTTAAAACATAGTCCATTTTCCTGTTATTCCTACCAAAATGGATGACCTCACACTTATCAACATTATGCTCCATCTGCCAGACCTTTGCCCACTCACTTAGACTATCTATATCCCTCTGCAGACTTTCAGTGTCTTCTGCACACTTTGCTCTACCACTCACCATAGTGTCATCTGCAAATTTTGACACACCACACTTAGTCCCCAACTCCAAATCATCTATGTAAATTGTAAACAATTGCGGTCCCAACACTGATCCCTGAGGCACACCACTAGCCACTGACCGCCAACCAGAAAAACACCCATTTACCCCTACTCTTTGCTTTCTACTGGCCAACCAATCCTCTACCATGCCAATACGTTACCTGTAATACCGTGGAACTTTATCTTATGTAGCACTTTGTCACATGCCTTCTGGAAATCCAGATACACCACATCCACAGGTTAAGATGGAGCTTTCCAGTTTGGGACAGCAACAGAAAATGAGACAGTTTAGTTACTTATATGCTCACATGCTCTTTAGTTATTGCTACTACTTTTATTTGCCATAAGACACTGTGTAGGTCTATCCAAAGCCAAAGTCATGGTGGAACAAAGCAGGTGGAAGTCATTTGATATCCAGTTCTAATGGTTCTATTACTGTGTAGTGATCGCACTTGTGCTAGTATGTAGAGCCTACAGTCAAGTAGAAACGCTTCAAGATTAAAATGTTAAATTTCATATTTAACATTGACATTTAACTTCAATTGATAAAATTATGTCATCAACACCTTATAAATGCAACCTGCAGATTGAATTGCAGTTAGCTCATAGGTGAACTTCAAGAGTAGTTATAATCTTGAAATAATTAATTTCAACACTTTCACAGCAACTTCTAGAAAGGAAGAATTAGCATCAGTATTTTCATCTAATCATTTGTGTGTAATTCAGCTCCATTTTATTGCTAGTAGTTGAGGAATGTTTTACAGATGGGTGCTGACATGTTGCGTTGATGAAGATACTATAAATAGGTTTTCTCACGCAGACTGAATTTTTTAGAGTTGTGAACGACTTACTGCAACGCTCACTGAAGTGAGAGAATTCTATAGGTGGCAATTAGCTTTTAAGCTTTTTTATACCACATTTCGAACATGACACAAAATGGATTCGAAGCACAGAGAAATATGACTTTAGCCAAAAGAATTGATTTCACTTCTGAAGCATACTCTTTATCAGCACCATAATTTAAAGATCTTAAGATTGACTTGTATTATGATTATGCTGTATAGCTTTTCTTACACTATGCAGAATTTTTTTTTAGTTTGTATAAAGTTTTAAGTAATATAATGTTCTGATTTATGCCAGAAACCAGATTTGGCTAGTGAAATTCAGCCGTTGGTCAAAGAATCATAGAATCCCTGAAGTGCGGAAAGAGGCCATTCGGCTCATCCAAAGAGCATCCCATCCAGAACTAGACTCCCACCCTATCCCACATTTACCATGCCTAACTCATCTAGCTATACATCTCTGGACAATTTAGCCTGGCCATACCACATGACCTTCACATCTTTGGACTGTGGGAGAAAATCGTAAGACCCGGCAGAAACCCACTCGGACGTGGCGAATGTGCAAATTCCACGCATGCAGTCACCCAAGGCTGGAATTGAGCCTGGTTCTCTGCCACTGTGAGACAGCAGTGCCAACCACTGATCCACCTTGCTGCCCTAAGCCTAAAATGGTCATTTTAGTCTTGTGTGTCTCTTCACTTAATTAACACGATATTTATTAATTGATGTGCCCCATGGATTGGCCTTCCTGGCGGTGAGAATAAATGTGATCTGTTACTGCTTATTTCAGTCTATCTCTCGAATAGCTCTTGCTGTTTCTTGTCTCAGGTCTGTGATAATTCATCAGTTATAGAGTCATAAAGTTATACAGCACAGAAACAGTTCCTTTGGTCTAACTCATCCATGACAACCACGTTTCCCAAACTAAACTAGTCCCACTTGCCTGCATTTGGCTCATATCCCTCTAAACCTTTCCTAATCATTGACCTATCCACATGTCTTTTAAATGTTGTAACTGTACCTGCGTCTACCACTTCCTCTGGCAGTTCATTCCACATACGAACCACCCTCTGTGTGAAAAAGTTAC